GTATTGGACCACAGTGGTCCATCCGGAAGTCATCACCAACAAGAAAATATCCATCATGAAACGTCAAGACAGTACGACTTGTAAGTAAAGTGATATAGTTATATCTAAAGTATTTATCTAGTTGGGTAACTTATCATTTTGTTCTTTTTGTGTAGTGAAAACGAGCTTCTTGAAGCTCCTGACCTCACACAGTTGCCCATAGACGATGTATTTACTTGTGATTTGGCAGATGCGCAGAGTCAGGAAGATGATAGTGATTATGACAACAATCTGGATGAGTCTGGGGATGACACACCCTTCCATGATGAGGGTGATAATGAGGAGGGAGTGAATGTTGAACCTGAGCTGACGAGGGAGCATGTTCCTCCACCTCCCGCTAGACCAAGAGTGTACGAGTCCCACGTGCCATTTCATGAGCAGAATATTCCATACCTTAATAATTTGCCAAGCATGCCGAACGTGGATGCCCTCACAAGGGATGATGATGAATTTTGGTCAGCGATGTAGGATGAGTCTAGACCAGTTGTTCTGACAAAGGGCATGTATTTCCCCTATAAAGCTCGCCTAATTAGGGCTGTAAAAATCTACAGTATAAGAGAGTGTCGTGAGATGACGGTAAGTGAGTCAACTACGTAGAAATACAAGGCTGTATGTCGTAGAGACTTTATGGGTTGTCACTGGATGTTGCGTGCCACCAAGAAGAAATTAGGTTTGTGGAAAGTGGGTAAATATATTAGCGAGTACAGATGTGAAATGGACACATACAATGATAATCACTTCAACTTGGATGTGGACTTGATTTCTCTTGTCTTGATTCCATATTTGGAAGTGTCCATTAGGTTCAAGATTAAAGAGTGTATTACAGCCGTCCACCAGGTGTATGGTTGTACTATAACTAAAAGAAAGGCATATCTCGGTCGCAAACGTGCCTTTGAACTTATTTATGGCGACTGGGATAAGTCTTTTTCAAATCTGCCCAAGCACGTGGCCGCACTGCAACACTTTAACCCCGAGACTGTTGTTGAATGGAGGCGTGAGCGGAGTCCGGACAGACCCGAATATATTTTCAACTATGTGTTCTGGTCATTTAAACCAACAATTGATGGTTTTGTGCATTGTCGTCCTGTTATTTCCATAGACGGTACTCATGTCTATGGAAAGTATGATATTAAGCTTTTGATTGCAGTTGCAGTAGATTCCAACGGGCAAATATTTCCACTAGCTTTTGCCATATGTGCCAACGAAAGCGAAGAGACGTGGACGCTTTTTTGAACCACTTGAAGCAGCACGTTGTCAAACAGTGTTCAGGTATTTGTCTAATATCTGATCGACATGGTGGTATTTTAAGTTCTGTACGTCACTTACCTGAATGGGAGGAACCATATGCATACCAACGTTACTGTGTGTGTCACCTAAAGGCCAATTTCCAGAAGAAATATCCTGACAAGGCCTTGCATGACTTAATGTGGATGGCTGCAACTGAGCACCAGTAGTGCAAATTCATGAGGCGCATGGAAGCGATCATGCAGTTAGAACCACGAGCCTATACTTGGTTGATGGGGCATGAGCTTCACATGTGGACATTGCATGCTGATGGCGGCAGACGATGGGGATCCCTCACTACAAACATGTCGGAGTCATTCAACGACTTGTTGAAGTCTGCCCGTGGACTGCCTGTCATTGCCATGGTCCGCATGATATTCAAACAGAGTGCGGAGAGGTTTTTTGAAAGGCATGCAGCTGCATCAGCATTGATGGACATGGGGTATTCAATTTATGCCAATACCCATGAGAAGATCTGAAAGGTCCAGGAGGCGAGCACATTGGCATTCATTTCATCAGTACGATCATGAACGGGGTGTTTTTGAAGTTAAGACCGCTATCCGCAGACACCGTGGGAATAATCTACAGATGGTGAATGAAAATAGAAGGTTATGTTCATGTGGGAAATAGACCATCTACCACATGCCGTGCGCACATGCGTTGAAGTGCTTTCGAACAAGTTGGATATGGGGCAACAAACTATATTGATAGGCAATATAGTGTTGCTGCATACGTAGACATATAGTGGGAAGTTGCAGCCATTAGGTGCTGAGTATTATTGGCCGCCGGAACCTTTTAAGATGGTATGTAACAAGGACTATTTGTGCAAGCTACAAGTGCAAAATAGAACACGTATACGGAACCAAATGGATGTTGGTGACACCGTTTATGTGCGTAAATGTGGCATATGCTTGCAAACAGGACACGACCGTCGTAAATGTCCTTCAGGTGGTGTGCGTGACGGTGGTAATCTGGCTCCTGGTGCAAGTTCGTCGAATGTACCCAACTATCAAGGATACCCCTAGTCTTTTGTTTTGGTATTGTTTTTTGTAATACGTGTTTGTACTTGTGTATGTTGCAGTATATATCAAATAAAATTATGTTCCACAATCTGGAATGAGTGAAGAAAAAGCTATTTAATTGTAGGAAAATGTAATATGTAAAGCGTGGTTTGATAGTTTCATATAACTACACAAGCACTTAAACTTAACTTCCACTTCAATTAAAATAAAATTTAGTACACATACATGCCATACATGCCATTTCAATTAAAATAAAATTTAGTACACATACATGCCATACATGCAAATACATGCCACTTCAATACATGCCATACATGCCATTTCAATTAAAATAAAACATTACTACAGCACAAACACAAACATAACAAGCCAACATAATAAAAATACTTGAAATATGAAAAATACACTAAACACATACATGCCAATGTTTAGTCCAGGTTGCCATTTATTCTCCACTCCAACCACTTAAATCGTTCTTCCATTTGTTCTTTTTGTTCTTCTACCTCTTTTAGTTTTGGCTTCACCTCCGCAAGTTCCCGTTTATATTTTTTTTACGTTCCTTTTGTGCTTCACAATTCCATTATGCTTTCCATTTTTCTTCTCCCGCCTCCTTCAGATCGCCCTTATTTCTACAATAATTCTATCGCTTTCTCTTTGTGTTTCTCGTTGGCATAAACACATATTATGAAGAAACTGCAGTTGTTCTTTGTAGTATTCCTGATAACATGGTTCATCAACCCATTCCTCAAAATCACAAATAGGTTCACCGAGAACCTTGTATAACTGGTTCATACAGCACTAGTAGCGGCGTCCAACTTCACTACTGTCCCAACAATTTTGCATCGAGCATTCTTTGCCACAGTTGCACTTTGGTGGACGAAGAGGTTGAGTCATTAAATGAAATATTTGATTTTAGTATAAAAACCTTACTTTTAATGAAATATTTGCTTTTACTAATTTTTGAGCACACAAAATAACTACAATGAGGCCATTATTTATAGGCGAGACAAAATACATAAAGCGTGGTATAGTACTGCATTTTATGGAGTTGTCTTGTCGTTCTGAAAAAGATAAAAACCATGTGAAAAAAGCTGCTTTATTGCAGAAAAATTTAATATATAAAGCGAGGTATAGTACTACCTTTTATGGAGTTGTCTTGTCGTTCTGAAAAAGATAAAAACCATGTGAAAAAAGCTGCTTTATTGCAAAAAAATTTAATATATAAAGCGTGGTATAGTACTGCATTTTATGGTTTTAGTTATCCTTTGTGCAGTAATGGTTTTAGTTCTACTGTTTGTTTTTGTGTTACGTTTGCAATGTTTGTGTTTCTTGTGTACTGTTTAAGTAAAATTGTTGTTCAAACGCAATTAAAATAAAAATATTGTTAAAAGATAATTGTTACCATTATTTACATAATGCACTATTTATACAAAGTAGAAACATAAGTAAATTAGTGAGTCCCGCAGCCTGTGTGCTTCAGTGCTTCTGCCGGCCTAAGTCGCATCCCCTACCGCCCGGGTACACTATCTGGATCATTGTCATCAAGCCGCCTCTTTATGTGAGGATGTGCAGTAGCATCGACACCACAGCTGGCAGGATCAGAAGAATATGCCGTCAGGCCGTCAGCAACCTACAAAACAAGTAGTAATCTTAGCATGTGAAAAAGTATATTTGTATTGTACGTGTTGAGTCAAAAAACATTTTCTCATCGTGGTTTCGTCGGCCGCCTGAGTATATGCATCCGTGGTGTCCTCATCAAAGCATGTAGTGGCCTCAAAGATGGGCTGGGACAAAACCTACATAAGAAAGTTAAAAATTAATTAATGTGAGCTCATTAAGGAAAAGAAAACAAATTGAAATTTTAAAGTAATACAAACATACCTGCGCCTGTGGTAGACCCGCATCAACCGCCGGGTATGAGGCATAACTCAACCTGCGCCCGCCATCCACGTCCTGGGTGGGCCGATCCTCAGCTGCGGTAGATAGGCATGCAACGTACTGGTCTGCATCCCAGTTGAATGTACACGTGAATGACAATGCTCATGACGGGGTGACCTGCGATGCTGGAAGAGATAGCTGAAGGCTGTACGAAGTCATGCTGCTGGAAGGCTCATATACCCGAGGTATATAACCTGGTTGATCATCTCCAAGCGCCTTAACTCCAAAGTCCTCATCATGTCCCTCAACAGGTGGGTAGATAGGTGCCTCAACGCCCCCTTGCTGGGGTCCACCTCCTCGCCGTCCCCCGCGACCCCGTGGGGTTCCCTTGCCTCGTGGGTCACCCCTCCCTCATGTCCTACCCCTGCCTCGTGGGACACCCCTACCATGATGGTAGTCCTCTGGTGCCGCATACTGGGCCTCGTGGTCCAACCTCGCGGCAACTCTCGCCTGAAACAGGGTCCGACGAGCCAATTGTGCCACCCGTCGGCCATAGTCAACGACTGCAGGGATGTCGGTATGCTGCTGCATCTCCTGTCCCAACTGGTAGAGGTGATGATGGCCAATAGCCTGTGAAATATTTAAAATATTAATTAAATAATGCTATATCACAATTATACGATATTAATAAGCCAAAAAACATACTAGTGCCTCGTGTCTCCCGACGTATGGTCTGTAGCGCTCGCCAAGTACATGAATGGAGTTCCCGATAATCAGTTAGGTGTGACAGCGGTACCATGATGCATACAGATGAATAGTGGCCTCCTGGGCAAATGTAGGTGCTGGCGGAATACGGTCAGCTCGCTCCTCCCAAATATGGACCTGCTGCTCTAGCCATCCCATATATATATCATCCAGCCTGGCACAATCATCCCGCTGATAGTGTGTAGCCACCCATCCAGGATCCCCCGGTATAGGCTGGGGACGGTGAAATTGGCGAAGCACACGCTCTGTGGCATGATACTCAACCATATTGAAGAAGATCATCAGGACGGAGGTGCTCCAAAGCGGTCGATCGACTGAGCAATAAGCGAGCAGCTGAGCTAGCAACTCGTCGATGTATGACGTCCAGATGAACTACCAAATAATAACATAAAAGTGAGTATGCGCAACACAACTCAATTTAAAACAAGTATGTGTAGGTTCATATTTACCTGTCCGTCCACCAGCATATCTAGCACATCCCTAACAAGGGGGAGATTATGATGATCATCGGTCCCTCGGTAGTTCCCACGCCGTAGAATCCACCTAGAAGCTAGAGGGAGAAACGGATAAGCCTCAGGGCGCAAATGGTGGTAGAGGTGGCTGCAACGGCATGATCCACTGTCAGGCCCAAACCTAAGATAAAAGGTTGATGTAAAATTTATGAGTCATTTCGACCATATAGAATTCGGAGTAATGAACAGAGTATTCGAAAATGTTGTCACCTGTAGGAGGGGCAAAAAACCACATATGTCCACCGATGGGCCCATGCTCGACCGACACATGCTCCTATACAGGTATGCGAGAACAACAGCACCCCAGCTATACTGGGGTAAATCATCCAACTGCTGAAGATGATGGAGAAAGCGCATACTCATGAGACTCCCCGAAGTGCTCGAGAACAAGACACACCCAAAAAACAGGAGCAGCGCCAACCGCGTGTACCTCTCAATATGGAGATCCTCTATCTTACCGGCAATGTCTGGGTGCAAAACAACCATATGATCTCTGATGGCTGACAAAGCAATGCGAATACCCCCAGCGTCACCCTGAGGTCTATAACCAGTAAACTGCCCCATCATATCAAAAACCTGTGCACACGTCATGGATCTAATGTACTGGGGCAGTGCCATGGCTCGTCCATCTACGCGCAGCCTGTACAAAACCTGAACATCCTCCAGCGTGATGGTGGCCTCTCCAGTGGGCAAGTGAAAAGTGTGCGTCTCCGGTTGCCACTGCTCTACCAAGGCCCTGATGAGAGACCAATCAAGCTGCATCCGTCCAAGCTCAAAAATCGTATAGAAGCCCGTAGCCTATAGGCGTGCGACTACGCGGGCATGGAAAGGATACTCCACGATGAACTCCAACAAATCGTCAGGTCTCCTAAGGCGGAGAGCCTGCATCGATAGTTGTCCCTCCCATACAAAGGAGGACCTATGGTCGCCCTGCAACACTATTAGCTGATCCTCGGCAGGTCCAGGATGCGCAGGCGGAGGAAAGTCCATGCCGTCTACTATAATTTAAACAAAATTAATTGTTTGTGTTAGTTTAAGGAATTAAATAATTAATTATATTTAATATTGGACTGAATAATTATGTATGAGTTCTAGGCTCGATATTTGAGGCCCAGTAGAACCAAGTTATCCTTAATTATTATGCGTGTCAATTTCAACATTTTTAGAATTTTGTTAGCTTAATAAATTAAATAATTAGTTATGTTTAAAATTGAACTGAATAATTATGTATGGGTTCCAGGCTTGATTTTTGAGGCCCGGTAGCACCAAGTTATCTTTAATTATTATGCGTGTCAATTTCAACATTTTTAGAATTTTGTTAGCTTAATAAATTAAATAATTAGTTATGTTTAAAATTGAACTGAATAATTATGTATGGGTTCCAGGCTTGATTTTTGAGGCCCGGTAGCACCAAGTTATCTTTAATTATTATGCGTGTCAATTTCAACATTTTTAGAATTTTGTTAGTTTAAGGAATTAAATAAAAAATTATTGAATTGGACTGAATAATTATGTATGGGTTTCAGACTCGATATTTGAGGGCCGGTGGCACCAAGTTATCGTTAATTATTATGTGTGTAAATTTCAACTTTTTTAGAATTTTGTTAGCTTAATAAATTAAATAATTAATTATGTTTAATATTGGACTGAATAATTATGTATGAGTTCCAGGCTTGATTTTTGAGGCCTGGTAGCACCGAGTTATCTTTAATTATTATGCATGCCAATTTTAACATTTTTAGAATTTTGTTAGTTTAAGGAATTAAATTAAAAATTATTGAATTGGACTGAATAATTATGTATGAGTTCCAGGCTTGATATTTGAGGCCTGGTAGCACCAAGTTATCCTTAATTATTATGTGTGTAAATTTCATCATTTTTGATAATTTTGTTAGCTTAATAAATTAAATAATTAATTATGTTTAATATTGGACTGAATAATTATGTATGGGTTCCAGGCTTGATTTTTGAGGCCCGGTAGCACCGCGTTATCCTTAATTATTATGCGTGTCAATTTCAACATTTTTAGAATTTTGTTAGCTTAATAAATTAAATAATTAATTATGTTTAAAATTGGAATGAATAATTATGTATGGGTTCCAGGCTTGATTTTTGAGGCCCGGTAGCACCGCGTTATCCTTAATTATTATGCGTGTCAATTTCAACATTTTTAGAATTTTGTTAGTTTAAGAAATTAAATTAAAACTTATTGAATTTGACTGAATAATTATGTATGGGTTCCAGGCTCGATATTAGAGTTAATTTTACAACATATATTAATTTGTTACTTTTATAAGTTTTTTGTTATAAATTAAATAATTAATTTTGTAAAGTGTAATTGGATAGAGTTTGCAGTTACTACATACTTAAACTACATAGACTCTACGCTAAAAGGTTCTACATTTTACTACGCTAAAAGGCTCTATATTTTACTACACGCTCTATATTTTACTACGCTAAAAGGCTATTTATTTTACTACGCTAAAATGTCACTATTACATATAAAAACAACTAACATAAAATACAAATATGAACAACAAAAAAAAAATATTAATTTTTTATTTAACCAAATAAAAACATAACATTAACAAAACAAATAATTTATCAAATTTTAATAATTTTTTGTACCAAAGCTAATAAATCAATCCGGGTATAAATAAGATACAAAGTTAAACACAAACATAACACAAATTAACATGGAAACACATTAAACAATACAAATATGCATGTACTATACGAGTTTCGACATAAACAAAAT